TTTTTGTGTGCATGCTGTAAATTAAATCATCTTTCCTCTGATTACTGCTTTCAGGACATCCCATGTCATTGTTGCTCTACTTCATCAATATTGTTTTCCTCCCTGTATCGAACTATTTCTCTTTTTTACTTCATCATTTAGTCCCTTATTATTTAATACTCCTTCAATGGGTATCCACACTGTGTTTTTCCTCTTTCTGTTCTGATTAATTTAAAGATAAATTGCATAGTGATCTGACACACCTGGTACTCCATGGCTGCATTACATCACTCTGTAGTTCTCTCTTATTCATTTTTATGTAATCAGTTCTAGAGTACACAGCATGTGGGATTAAGTAGTGTCACAATCCTGATCCAAAGGATGGAGTTCTCATCATACACCTAATACATTTCTATTTTTCTACTTGTTGTGTCTAACCTGTAGTTCAAYACATTAAAATCTCCACCAAATATCAGTATACGTTTCTGCTCACAATAATATAAGATCAAATATTTTCTTTAAAAATATCTTTTCTCTGTAACATTCTTGTTACTGACTGGTTTTCCAGTTTGCTTTTTATCATTGAGTATCTCCATTTTTTGTCTATTATTTCCTTGAACAACCTGCGGTTTGAAATCGATATCATCACTCCCCTCGTGTTTTTATCTAAAGAGGCCAGAAAATGARATTTTGTACCCTAATTTTTTTGTAMTTTTCATGCTCTTCTTTTGATAAATGTGTCTCCTGTGAAAGAATGACCTGCACTTTATCTTTTATAAATGTATCTCTTTTCTTAACATTATTGAGATGATTAACATTCGTGGACACCATCATTATATCAGTGAATGTATTGTTATTACATACAGTATATGGATACATCTATAGAGTTATGTTCAGACAGGACRAACTTTTTGTATTTGAAATATATTGAACCCAAAGGCTCCACATGACAAGAATACTAACTATTTTTCACTCAGCTAAAGGAGTTCGGAGTGAACTAGTAAAAACTTTTTTTTTTGCCAAATGTTATGTATAAGATAAAATACAAAGCTGCAAATTATATCCATTGTATCTGTATTTTGTAAATTGCTTATGGGTGTACTGGACCGTAAGAGTACAGAATTTCATTTCACCTCATGTGATGCGAATGACAATAAAGTCTCCTTGAATCCTTGAATCCTTGAAATGTTCCTGACGGTCTGCCACATTTGAAACTTGTTCTGCAGGAGGAGATGTGTGTGTGTCCGGTCATGACAGTGGGCCAGTGTTTGAAGAACAGCCCAGCAGTTTAATTTATCCTGAGGGTTTGACTGAAGGCAAGGTGACTCTGAGCTGCCAGGCCAGAGCAAGTCCAGCTGCTACCTACAGGTGAGGATGATCCAAACCCACTCAGAGCTGTTTGTCCCACACAGATATCAGGTTCACTGAGGAATAAGAAGTTAGAAAACTAATGCTACATCTGGAAACTGCATTAGTTTAAATTATTAAAATGATATTGAACAAAGAGGAACATTTGACTTTCTATAACATCTGTGTTTTATTAAGTCAACAGACCCATCTGTGATGGTAGCATGATGGATTTATTAAATGCAGGAACCACATGAAGACATTCAGTAGCTGTTTCCATCATTGTCTTTAATGCACATTTTGACGTATCGCATAAGAAAAGATGAATGGAAATGACATGATTCGAAAAAACTTCCTCTGATTTACAAAAAAGTTTTTACGCTCGCTTGAGGTGGTTTTTGTTTTTTTCTAAAAAGAGTTAATGTGCAAAAGGAGAGGTGGAAACACATTCGCCGAATCAGTTCTGACATAGTGAACATTTGCCTCACATGGTGGTTGATCAGCTGTTCTCGCTGTCTGACCAGTACCAGTAMCAGAGCGACTGTACCCGCGACTGGCAGCAGGACCCTCCTCCTGCTGTCGGCGTCTTCAACAGTTATTCCTGTAACGTGAAGAGAATTGCATTTCTTTCCCTACGTCTCCAGACAGCATGTAAAATCACCAGAACTAGTTGATATGATAGAATAATTGCAACTTTCCCCATAGTAGCAACATGTTCCTGATAACTTCTCTACATTGTCCTGAGATGTGTGGAACCTGCAAGTTTGCGAATTTTACTTTGTGTTTACTACACACATGCATCTGACGTAATTGATTCACTACAAGCCAGTTGATGGAAACACATCTGATTCACATTTATTCATTTTTTCCTTTTTGCGAAATTGTAAAAATTTGCACTGTGGTGGAATTAATAATTCATGACATACTTTAATGACCTAGGTTTTCATGACAGACCACATATTTCTGTCTTTGTTAAATAAATATTTCCATAACGGCGTTGTCGCGGGGCCCACTAGGAGATCGATGGACCAAGGCCACATTGCAGGTGGACTGATATGAGTTAKCAAGGACTGCTCAGGACCGTGACTCCAGCTGGATCAAAAGAACCTTTTTATGGTAAAATTTTAACAASAGAAATATGATGGTGACCACTGACCATGCTGGATGATCTTGAATAAGCAGAGAACATTGGATTTTATTTTTGACTGAAGTACCTGAGAAGATTTTTGAAACATCATCTGCTGAGAGTGAGTATGGACAAGCTTCAAGATGCCTGCTTTCTTTTCCAAAGAGGATTTCTGCCAGCTTCTCCAAAAGGTGACGGTGTTGGAGCTCAAGATTCATCGTCTGGAAGAGATGAATGCTTTGGAGGACTCAACATGCGTTCAAATGGGTGAGAAGGGTGAGAAGAGAGATCAACTGGACGAGGAGATGGGAGCTGCTTCTGAGAGTAAAGCTGTATTGAACTCTCTTGGTGCCAGACCAAAAAAATCTCTCAGGAAGGATTCAGCTCTTAGATGACAACAAATGGCCAGAGTTACAGAGAAATGCTTTTTCTCCGCCTGCAAGGAGAAGAAAGCAGCAACAGGCTGGAATCAAAACAAATGATAACAGCCAGAGAAATGAAGACAGAGTAGTCTTTCTTCAAAACAGATTCACACCACTGGAAGAAAGTGGTGTGTCTGAAAAAAGTTCACTATCTGATCTCAGTGAGGGACCTGAGACCAGATCCAGATTCAGCTCAAAGTCAAAACAAGTCAAAAAAGAGACTTTCAAAAATCAAGAAATGCTGATCATCACAGATAAAATGGTGAATGAGATCAGAGGCTTCTGGAACAAGAAAAAAGTCAAAGTTCTGAGTTTTGCCGATGTGTCTGACATCCCAGTGTCTGACATCCCAGAGAAGATTCTGGGAATCACAGCAGAGTATCCTGCTCTGAAGATGCTCATCATTCATACAGGAAGTGATGAAGTTATGAACCGACAATCAGAAATCCTGAAGAAGGATTTCATTCAGTTGCTGAATGCAGTTAAAAATCTCAACATGGATGTGTTCCTCAGTGGACCCATCCCTACAGCAAGAGGAGGGGCTGAGAGGTTCAGCAGACTATTGGCTCTTAATGGTTTTTTGGATAAGTTCTGTGTTGACCACTCTGTGAGATTTGTGGATAATTTTGATCTCTTTTGGGAGAGGAAACATCTGTTCCACTCTGATGGAATGGCTTTGAACTGTCATGGATTGAYGCTGTTAGCTTCAAACATGAAGTATTTTCTGAATCAAGTTCGAGCTAGAAACAAACAGGAGAAATCACAACAGCTGACGTCTGAAGGACAGCTGGAGAAAACTGAGATATCGATGGAACACAGTGTGCAAGTTACTGATAAAATGACTGTTGCAGAATCAGAACCACAGAGAGGAGAGTTACTTCAAGCTGCAGAACCGGAAGAACTGGATTCAGCCTCACAAACAGAGGATCTGGAAAAGGAGATTTYCCAGACTGCAACAGGAGAACGACAAGACCCCACTTTCTCTCCACCAGAGGACCTCAAACCTTCTCCCTTTGAGACCCCAACAGGACAGCAAGTAGAATGCCCCCTCCTGGATTTTACTAACAACATGGAAGAACTTGGCGAGATTAAGATYCAACAAACACCATGYCCAAATCCAGCTAACCCTCATCTTCCAACCCCTGGCACTAAACCAGCCTCTACAAAAATTCACAGAGCCTCAGCACCACCTCTGACCCTTCCATATATGAAAACAGACAAGCCTGTTTGTGTTCAAGATGATGCAAAGACTTTTGTGTAATAATTATGTTTTGGGGTTAATAATTACTGTGGGAGGAAWAAAAATWGAATCACTGGGGTTGGGATTTTAGAGAAGTACGTATATTTAGGTWTGTGTTGWCATAATTTTTTAATGCRTTAAAGAGTTGTTTTTGTTTTATTGATCATTTAATTGATGATTTAATGATCAGATGGGGGAGATATGGTGGAATAATACTTTTARGTTTAAGCCAGTAATTCATGACATACTTTAATGACCTAMGTTTTCATGAAATGCTGTTTATCTGCAGAAAGAATGGTTAAAGTCAGAACAAGATTTGCTAACAATAATCATTCTTAGATATCACTTGTGTTTATTTTTGTGTTTTCCCTTGACCTAGGATGAAATCTTGCTAAGATGACATAATAGTGTTTGTTAAACAATGTGTCTGAGACAGAGGCAGAAGCACAGAGACAGAGCAGGAGCAGAGAGTAAAGGGGACAGTTCAATGGCTGATGTTGTTCTCTGTGTTTCCTGTTGTTGCAATAAAACTCAGCTCATCATTCCACAGAGTACCTTCATTCTTGGACCATGTATTTATGTCTTTGTTAAATAAATATTTCCATAACATGCTCAAAATTCCAATTAAATTTGGATGGAAACACGGCTACTGTTGTAAGAATGACTGCTATTGTAAACAGCTCAATTAGTCTGTGCAACACCATCCCCCTCCYCCATCCCCCCACTACTGAACCTCTCTGGTATGTTCATGTACTCTAGGATCCACTCTTTCAAAAAAAGCATGTTAAAAGAAAAAAAGTTGTGTCTCACTGCCCAACAGGGAATGATTTTTGACCACACCCCTTTTTCATTTTGACCAACAAAATTAAGGGAACACGAAACTTAACTGCCAATAACTTTGCTATAAACCAACCAAATGTTAAAACAAGGTATCAGCAGATTTGTACTGACCAGCTCTTCGATTTACATGATATTTCAGTAGTGGGTGGTGGGGTGGGGTGAGGGTTTAGCCCACGGACTAAATAATTTCATTACTAAATTCCTAACACTGAGAAAATAACTCTGAGATGATGCTAAGTATGTTCACAGCTTTGTTATATAAGCTRTACTTTGTTCACTTTGGAGATCCCTGGAAACTTTGGAATAAACCCACTGATAAAGTTGGTTTGTGAAGCATTGCTCAAATTTAGTGAAATTAAAGACCGATACTAACTTCTGAACTGAGCTGAGTCTGACCAGGTTTCTGAGTCTCTTGTGACAGTAGACCTCCTGAGCTGAGTCTGACCAGGGTTTCTGAGTCTCTTGTGACAGTAGACACCCTGAGCTGAGTCTGACCAGGGTGTTTGAGTCTCTTGTGACAGTAGACCCCCTGAGCTGAGTCTGACCAGGGTTTCTGAGTCTTCTATATCAGCAAGGTTTTTTAGACACTGTCAGGAGAGGCTTTTCTGTGAAATCTGTAGCCTAAAAAACCTGACATGTAACTCAGAACTTTACCTTTTTTTGTAACCTTTATCATCTGTGTGATTTTTCCCTGACTTTGGTACAGGTGGCTTTTGAATGGAACTGAGGTCCCACTGGGTTCAAACAGATACACATTAGTGGCTGGGACCCTGGTGATCAGCAACCCGGAGTCTGTTCGAGATACAGGATCCTACCAGTGCCTGGCTATCAACCGATGTGGCACCATTATCAGCAGAGCAGCTAACCTGAAGTTTGGCTGTGAGTCTTTTACTTTTCTGTGTGGTATTGATGGCTCGGGTCTTCTTACATCTGTGATTAACAACAATTCAATTTTTGTTTAATTTCCTACATTTCTTGTGTTTCTGCAGACCTTCATGACTTCTCTCCAGATAGTAGAAGTGCACAAACAGTATATGAGGGTGTGGGCACTTTCTTGGCCTGCCAGCCCCCCTCACATTACCCAGGTACCTCTTTACTGCTGACTTCTGTACAGCCTGACAAACTGTAAAAATATAGACTTTTATTTTAGACCGAATCGTTCAGCTTGTTRTCCAAAAAACAACCGAGTCAGCAAACTTTGAGCTGCTGTTGGTTCACATGAACAAAGAAAARGTTCTAATAAACTCCATGGCTGTATTCTGATTCWGTCAATGTATAGTGCTCAGCCATCRTGTAGTGCTGGTCAAACTTTTAACTGTAGACTCATCAGGCCACACGATAAYAGTAAATAGAAGTTATACACTACATTGGTGGAAATGGATCATAATGCACTGCAGCCAGATCKGACACAGAAGGCTAAATGAGGCTAATGCTAACATCTGCAGCTCAATATTGTGATTKTCAAACTAGTTGCAACTGCTTTTAATTATCTAGGCATCTTCAACAACAAATGGATTTTGTCCTAGTTCTTCTGCAGGACTTATAATGTATTTAAAATGTGAAAAGAACTGAAACTATATTTCTTTCTTTTTAAATTTACTTGTTTTTAATTTWAAAAAAGTGAAGCATTTTAAAGAAAAATTCAGAGGTGCACGACCACGTGCCAGGACACCACGTGGGGCCAACTCACAGGGGCGGGGATTGATTGTGTCACTRTTGGCACGCCTACTGATGGGGGGAGGGGGAGTGTTACTCTCAAAGTGATTAAAGTACTTCGCTCTGATCTGTGTCTTTTCCAGCTCTGTCCTATCGCTGGTTAATAAACGAGTTTCCAAACTTCATCAGAAAGGATGACGGACGCTGGTTTGTATCGCAGGTCACAGGTAACYTGTACTTGGCCAAAGCAGAGCCCAATGATACGGGAAACTACTTCTGCTTCACCACTATCAACCTGGAAATCAGCACCAAAAGTACCTTCAGCAAGGCCAACCCCCTCACTGTACTGCCTGATGGTATGATGAGCACATGTTGTTCCACTGCTGCTTGTGTTTCAGTAATGAGAGAGAAGAGAACATAGAAACAAAGAGTTAAATTAGCTGTACAGCTAAAGATTTTAACCTACATGATGACAGGAAGTAGATTCAGTGAGCATACCTACAAACTCAAACTAAATCTACTTAAAAGTGCATTTTCCARCCATTTAAAGTGTTAATAAAACATAAAATTGTTGTATATTTATTGAAAGGTACAGCAGTGACTTACAACTAGACTTTGAGGTGAACTTCATCTGAGATCATACCTGAAAATTGTACTTCTTTTTTTACACACTGAACATTACGAGTTTGTAACAAACCAGACTATCTACKAACACAAAACTACACATACAACTTGCCCTATGCTGTTTGGTCCATTCTTCATGGTGTTTAAACTTTCTATTTAGTGGCTCTCCATGAGCTGTGAAAYGTCTGGTTGTGAAAAAATATAGCATGTTAATAAAGWACCAAGAAAAAGTCTAAGCTAAAATCTTATATTTGAAAGTAAACAGCTAGACCCAACTGAATGCTTTAAATTGCTAACATAGATTTATTAAGGTAGCTTCTTTTATCAGATGTTAAAAACAATACCATCATGTCAGACAATATAAAACCATTTAATTAATGAAATTTGAATGTTTCATTTTCTTTCAGCCAATGCCAGAAAGTCTGCTCCGAGCATCAAAGTGCGTTTCCCTTCAGAGACGTACGCATTAGCCGGRCACACCACCATGTTGGAGTGCTTCGCTTACGGAAAGTAAGTTTCTACCTCAACATCAGACATAAAATTTCATTATTTTAKCCTGGACATCCTTAAAACTCTCCAAAAATGTTTCTAAATCTTTACAGGACCTTACACAGTATTTCTGGCTCTGCTCTTTTTATTTTTTCACTAATTTTAGTTTTCTTCTTTTATTTTACCTATAATTTTGCTTCTTTCTGTTATTTTTCTGCTTTTTCAACTTTTTTCTGCTTCATTTCGCAAATTTAAGCTATTTATGCTACTTACAGTTGCTTTCTGCTATATTCAGCTATCTGGAGCAATTTTGTTCATATTTAGCTGTTGTTAGCTAAAAAGTWAACTTTTTAGGCTAATTTTGGTGACTATTTTAGCCTTTTTCTGCTTAGTTTAGCAAACCTGTGTTCCTTGTGCTAATTTAAGATTTTCTAGCTACATTTTAGCTGTTTTACTGCCCATTTTGGCTGTTTCAGATATTTCACAACAAATTGTCACTTTTTTTGTACTTTTATTCCTTTTTTTCTGCTAGTTTGACATTTTTACACCCCTTTCACCATCTGGGTGCAAATTTAAACTAGTGTCTGCTACCTTTAGCTTGTTTTATGCTCATTTTAGCTTTTTTTTTTCCTGCTATTTCAGCTATTAAGTTGCCTCTTTTTGCTGTTCTTCTGCTAGTTTCTGCTTTTTTGTGCTTCTTTCAACTTCTCAAACTGGCATTAACAGTTTTGCTATAAAACATTTTCAGCTCCATTTCAGCAGCTTTTAGATGAAGTTTTCAGCAAGAAGCATTCACACTGGCATGCAGTTTGTCTAGTTTTTATTTTTTAACTTCAGGTCCAAACTGAGCAGTTCTCTCATCCAGAAGGTTAAAGAATGCGAGTCCTCCCTGGCTTTCTGTCTTTTTTTACTGTCAAATAGACAGATTGAATTGTTCCAAACTTGATCTTAGAACAGCTTGTTTTTAAACTTTTGTTACTCTACAGCCCAGTACCAAAGGTTAAATGGAGGAAGATCGATGGTTTGATGCCGTCCAAAGYAGGCTCAACGGCACAGAGTCCCACCCTCATCCTGCCTGAGCTCTCCTTTGATGACGAGGGTCTTTATGAGTGTGAAGCCTCCAACTCTGAGGGCACCGACTCTTACCAGGGACGTGTCAATGTGCAAGGTGACAGAAACATCTGTTGGTGTAAGATCAGCTTCTTCCTCATGGTCCTAATGTTCTCACCTCACCCCCACCCCCCACAGCTCAGCCTGAGTGGCTGCAGGTGATGAGCGACTCGGAGGTGGAGATCAGCTCAGAGCTCCACTGGACCTGTTTGGCTGCTGGAAAACCACGGCCCTCCATCCGATGGCTACGCAACGGACAACCACTCAACACCCATGTAAGGCCAGGGAGGCCTCTGAGCTAGAACTTTAGTTCTGCCTTCAGTCCAGACTCAAATACAAACTTATTCAAGGCCATTAATGTGCCTTAAGAATTACTCATCAGCCCTTTGAATTCATCTCTTATAGCTCCGCTGCAGCTGTTACAGCTCAGAGTCAACCTGTTGGACCAGGAAGAACAKTTAGGTCTCAGATTCCTGGTCTTGGTCTTTTGGCACAAACAGCTGTGTGAATGACCTCAGAAACTAACATCCACAAAAAAAGACCCTTTAAAATATTGTGTTTGATTTATGTAGTCTGGTTCAACAAAACCCACATCATCCGTAGAGAAGAAGTTCTTGGTTTATTTTAGTCAACACAGTGTAGTTATTTCATGTCCATGTAGAATGTTGAGATGTTTGAGATCCTCCCTGTGCTCCTGGTTTATAATCTTTTTAACAGGGTCTCAGATCTCTGTGGAGACCTTTTGTTGCTTTAGCAGCAAGACTACCATATTTATTCAAGTATAATAAGCAAAATTTAATCCATAAAATCATCCATAAAGTTGGGGGGTAGTACTATACTCGGAWAAATATTTTTACTTATGTATTTTAACTGAAATATCGGCACAAAATGCCTGAGTCCGGAAATGAGACCGCGTCGTAAAAAGCAGTTGAAACGAGCTCASCTGTGACACTCCTTCGTGCTTCAGTGCGAGATAATAACAGATCCAAGCAGGTGATATGATGTGAAAAAAATGGGGGAAAAGCAGTCCTGCACCTTAGTAATGATAATGAACTAATGATATTAGCATGTGACCGGACCGCTCCTGGAACAACAACAAACACATGTCCGTCTGTAATGGCTGCCGTCTACCAGTGTTCTGAAAAAGTTTGTATCCCTGAAAAAACGTTTCCCCACCAGAGGGGGCGCTTGAGAGTAGGAAGTAATCTGCTTTTCCCCCACAAGATGGCCCAAATCTCATGTGAAGTCTCTGACTTTTGTGTTGGCGCATCCTGGTGGACTATGTGAAAAATGCCAGAATTCATATGATGCTGCTACAGCTGATATATATTTGTTGTCAAAATACCTTTTAGTACATATGTTGTTAAAATAAAATGAACAGTCCAATGATCATTTTACTGATATGTATAAAGACTGCAAAGGCTGAAATATCTTGAAGTCTGTATGAAATTGGAGGTAGTTTGAGGATTAATTTTTTATGCTTTGTAAGCTCAAGAAAAGGGGGGGTCTTACTATACATGAGATCATATTATACACAAGTAAATACGGTATGTGCTTCTCTCTTTGGCACCCTGCTCATGTACCCTCTCCTTGTTGGTCTTCAGGACCGAGTCCAGGTGAATGGAGTTAATTTAAAAATCAGTAACTTGGCCCTGGAGGATTCTGGGATGTACCAATGTGTAGCTGAGAACAAGCATGGCACCATCTATTCTTCTGCAGAGCTAAGAGTCCAAGGTAGGACCGGCCCAGCATCTCCTTTAATCCAGTTCTGTTCAGATTGTTTTGGTTGTTTTTCGACAACAATGATGTTAAACATTAATGCTGGAATGATGTGACTCATGTTCCCRTCCTCCTCCTAGTCCAGGCTCCAGACTTCAGGCTGAACCCAGTCCGGAAACTGATTCCAGCTGCCAGGGGGGGTCAGGTGATGATTGAGTGTCGGCCTCGAGCAGCACCGAAGCCCATCCTGTTCTGGAGCCGTGGGACAGAGCTGCTCACCAACAGCAGCAGGTAGCCTCATGTTAATGCCTTTCATCTGTTCACTGTTTGCTCTGTGGGCTCATTTTACATCCAGAAACAGTAACATAACTTCTGGACAGTCTTTACCAACAGATCCAGACTCCTGGACCCAGTTCATGTCTGATTGGCTGGACWATGTGAACCTAAATAATGTGAACATGTCATGGCTGTATGGATTGTCCATAATTTACACAGATTTGCTAGCCTCATTTTGCAGGTATATGGACCTATACAGCAATCACACAGATTGTTTTCAACTTTTACAGATTTTCAAAAACTCAGTTTCATATTTATGCTAAAAATACAATATAAATATAAAAAATAACATCAAACAACCAACCCTTCAGCTCGCTCTGCTGCTAGAAATAAGTTCTCTACTCCTCCTGTTTCTTTCTGGTATGTGGCCATCCCCCCCACCCCCACCCCGCGGGTGTGAGTAATACTGATTTTTGAGTCTACAAAATGTCCAAAGGGATTGACATGTATGGTTATGATATCAAAAAGGTGGAAACTTTTATTTTGGCTTGAGRCTGCTTCATAATTCTTGATGATGAACCGCAAAAGTTCAGAGATTCTTTTGACAGATGCATACGCTTCCTTATAAACACAGTCTGGCGCGTCACTGTCAGTCCGAAACAGTTGCTGTATCGGTCACGTGACGTTTTTAGCGATRCGCGCATCGACACGGGGTTTTRTTCYATGAGCTCGAYGCATGCRTCGACGCATCGGTGTTGCTSAACCCATCACTACTGGATGCCAGTGACATGTGCATGTTGGTGTAAAAGACCGATACATTATAATATTTTACTCTGGTATGAAACGCCAACTGCTGTGCGGCTATACTGTTTCATTAGTCTGTACCAGTTCATGCCGACTGAAACAAGAAGAGCAATAGCATGTGATGTCAATTATGCTCAATAGGTAYATTTTATTCAGGAGTCTTTAAAATTAGATTTACCTCTCATTTAGATGTTAATTTTGCTGATTCATCAGCTTCTACTGTTTCTGAACTGCACTTTGTCTCCAGAATCTCYGTAACTCCAGATGGAACTTTGTGGATCCACAACATCAGCAGGGCGGATGAAGGAAAATACACCTGCTTTGCAGAGAATTACCTGGGCAAAGCCAACAGCACTGGACACCTGTCTGTTAGAGGTAAACTCAGTCACGCTGACACGTCACATGGTTACTGATCTGAACATCAGAGATTGCAAACAGAACGGGTCAAACTTCAGTCAGACCTGGAGTTACTGAAGGTTAACTCAGTGAAACTGRCTGRTTTCATGAAAAGTGATTACCTCTCTAAGTGACTTTAGATACAATCGTATGGATGGATCTGCACAGCAGAGCTTTTCTCCATTGTTGAGAGTAAAGTTTGGAACTGAGATTCAAACACCAAAACAATACTAATCTGAGCCAATCAGAGTGGGGCTCAGTATGATTCCAAGAATGCAGTCTTCAACACTATCCCAGTTCCARAAATACAATTATTGTTTCTATAAACCAGATCTTAATGGCATAAATACAATCTTCAACATGGAGATCCTGTGTTCTAAATATGAAATCTTCACATTTAGACATAACTTAGACAATGGACTGTTGAATGCTGTTTGATTCCAGCATRGAGATCTCACCTAGCTCTGATGAAGGGTCACCAATGAGCCCCCCCACCACCTCCGAACCCCCACCCAATTCAATGAATCTGTTCTGTTGAGTTCTGGTGCATTGATGTTTTGCGTACATGTGGGGGTCATATGTGCTACCACTATGCCAGGGGTGTCAAACTCCAGTCCTCGAGGGCCGCTATCCTGCATGTTTTAGAGGTTTTCTTGCTCCAACACACCAGATTTTGATCACTGGGTAATTAACAGGCTTCTGCCCAATTTRAAGAGTTAATTCAATCACTGAATCAGGTGTGTTGGAGCTGGAAAACCTCTAAAACATGCAGGATAGCGGCCCTCGAGGACTGGAGTTTGACACCCCTGCACTATGCTGTATCTAGTTTCTGTTTGTGGATCTACATAGTGCCGAGGGCCACCAAGCCTACTTTGGATAATATTTGTCCAGATTTTTTTTTCCTCTCCACTGCTGCCGGTGTGCTGCTCAGAATGTGAGACTGCGACGAAGCAAAGATTCAGCACAGTCTGCTGGCTTCTTTAGATTTATTGGTTTTTATTTATTTATTTATTTGTGTACAGTGCCCTGACACAGCAGTTGTTGTGACTTGGCGCTATATAAATAAACTGAATTGAATAGAATTTTACTTTGGGGACTCCTTAAAATGCTATGGGCCACCATGCCACAACTTAGAAACAGGGCGTGAGTTGAGATACGTCTGGATTCCTAAAACAGAGAGACCTCCATATTTCTGTGGGCCACCATGCCGAACTTGAATTCTGCATTCAGGCTATTAAACCACCAGAACTGGGTCAGAAAACCTGCAGATACCAATTTTAGGATTCCTCCATGGTGCCTTTGTTCAAACGTGTGATTAGATTAATCAAGCAGATTGAGCGTTCAGCTCAGTAGATCTGGCAACAGTAGAAAATGTTTTCTTTCTGGGTGGAGGAGAAGCTGGTGCCTATCTCCAGCATGCACCGTGTGAGAGGCAGGTCAACTCAGACAAGTCACAATTCCATCACAGCATCACAAACTAGACAGRTAACTATACACATTCTCACTCACACCTAGTTTAGAGTTACCAATGAACCCAACGTGCATGGTTTTGGACTGCTGGAGGAAACCTGAGTACCTGGAGTAAATCCATGTATGCCTGTGAAGAAAATGCATTCTCCACACGAAAAGGCCCAGAGACAAATCTGTAACCATTTTKCTGTGAGGCAACAGAGCTAACCCTGTGCCACTGTGCCTCAAAATCAGACTCTTGTTTTTATTTCCTTGTCATAAAATAGTAAACCACTCATCAACTATATTCTACATATACCAACTGTTTGTTGTTCAGATGCCACTAAGATCACACTGGCTCCCTCCAATGCTGACATCAACCAGGGGGAGAACGTCACACTGCAGTGTCACGCCTCCCATGACCCCACCATGGACCTGACGTTTACCTGGGCTCTGAATGGAGTCCCACTGGACCTGGAGAATTCTGCTGGGCCGTATCATCGGGTGGAAGGGGTGAGTGCTGTGAGGAATTGTTGTTTGGAATCAAGTGAACCAACATTTTTTAACGTGGCAGTGTGTTAGGTCAAAACACAACTAAAGGATTTAGACCATCATCATTGTCTGCAGCTTTGTGTGTGTGGACAGTTTCTGCTATAAACACCTACCTTATCAAGACCATTAGTCCTTATGGGGACCAAAGACCAGTCCTAATATGGTGGAAGTCTATTTTTGGGTTGGTGTTTATGATGAAGACTAAGGTGTGAATTGAGTTTAGGTTAGGTTAAGGGTTAGGTATGTACAGGGGGTGGGTAGGTTTTGGTTAAGGGCTCAGGATGACTGGAAATTAATATAAGTTAATCAGTAGTCCTGATAAAGAAAGAAAAACAAACTTGTGTGTGTGTGCGTGTGTGTGTGCGTGTGTGTGTGCGTGTGTGTGTGTGTGTGTGTGTGTG